GCCCGTATGTCGAACGATACCCGTGCCCGCCCGCCGCCACGTGACCCCACGGGGGCGAAACCCGTGGATCGCACATCTCTGCTTGGAAGTTCTAATTGACTAGAGTCTTTGGAAGGTTTCAATTTCTTAGCGTTCTCGATTTTCGACTACCAAAATGCATCAAAAAAGGAGCCATATATCAACTTCTGTGTTACTAAGAATGGTCTCTTTTTCAGTCGCTTTGCTAGCATAAGTTTAGTTTTACGTACAGAAATAAATCTTGTCATTATCGTACAAAAATCGACATATACATTTATAGAGCTAAAATAAACACCTTTAATTTATCTGCAATAGTTCAAAAACCGGTGTGGTATTTGATGTTATAATCATCATGACGAAATCTTTCAATAGATAGTATAGTGCAACGGATTTACTGATCATACACTCATCGCTGTAGGCGGTCGCTCTCTGTATCATCACATTCTTCTCTTTTTTCTTCCTTTGCTCTCTCTCTCTTTTCCGTACACACGTATCAATACCCCTGTTCGTATATCATTCACTAGTCATTATTGGCTCTATCTCCCTCCTCTGTCCCCTTCTTTCATCTTTTTGTTGTATTTCTTCTATGCATATATGAAAGAATAAACCACAAATAACCCAAAGCCGTTAGGGATATTCATATTTGTGCGCGCAACAGAAAGAGAGGAACAGAAGAATAGAATGAAGAATATGATGATACAGAGATCGATCGCATGCATATGGCGATGAGTGTATGACCAGTAAATCCGTTACGCATAATTGTTTCAAATAATTTTCGCTTATCTAGTGACAATTTTTCAAATAAATTAGATAAATCAGTGAAGTTCAAGTCTGTTTGAGTTAAACAAATCTACCAGTCACAAATCAATTAGTGATTCATGTATGTTGGCCTCTCATCTTTTAATCTCGTTAGAATAATAATAAGTACGAAGAGACCCGAAAAAGTTGTCTTGATTGTTGCCTCACATTCACATTTATTCCTCTAAGCAAGTATGTCATTTTTGTTATCGTCTGATGCCATTTCTACTGTTGGTCATAAAAGACCATTTAATGTCGATTTGGGCTCAATCACAGAATATTTTTCGTTCGTGCTCACCAGTAATGGAAATCTCGACCGATGTGATTTGAAAAATAGTAATATTCTATCTCAAAATCATTTTATCCATACTATCACGGTTACTTGGCATTATATCAAAAGAACAATATTAGCTAAGTGCCGTGCTCAAATGATACTAGCAAAGCGATTGAAAAAGAGAGAACAATAGATGAAAGAAAAGACGCCGTCCTTAGCAACACATAAGTTGATATATGGCTTCTTTTTCGTACCTTTTAGAGGCCGACAAGCGAATTCAAAATAAGGCTCATTCATGGAGAGCATTGATTTGTTAGATTTCTTGATCACAAAAGAGGCTGTATGACAAATTAAGCTTGTAAAATCGTTGGAAGTCTTCGATTTATCAGGTATCTGTATATCATAAACAGAGTCGAACAAGTGCGAATCCTTGACACACCTGGAATTTTCAGCAGTTAACGGCGAGGAACTATTGAATTTCTTAGTTTTTCGATAATTTTTGACAGTGATAAATGGAACGAAATCTATCTAATGCTCCGGTTTGTTAAAGTTCTTGACGGTTAGTAGCGCCTTGATATTAGTTAATGGCCTGAAATTCTGCAAACATAGAGTTCGTTACTTTAGCAGAAAGGATGAAAACAAGATACTGGTGTGAAATCCTTGAATATAGGACTATCGGACTTCTTTATTTCAGGCAAAAACACGTGGGTATGGGTATTGGATTCGAGGCTATGGCTGTGAGTATAGATTGGCGCCATGCTCTTGCTTTGCATCATACTCATACATAGTCAGATGCATCCGAGAAAGTCCTATGCATTTGAATCGATATTGAATTTTTGTACTCGATGATTTCCGTAATCGACGACATAGAGATTGCCGTGTCGATCGAATGACAAACCGATGGGCCAATACAGTTGGTTCGATTGTCCTCCACTACCGTTTCCACCAACAATGGCACTTCCCTGTGTGGCTCCTTTGGGCCAACGCATGGTTCGAGCATTCCCGTAATCAGCCACATAGACAGTGCCCAATTGATGGACAACGACTCCTTGAGGATAATACAATTGTGAAAGACTATTTCCTTGTTCTTGACCACCAGTCACGACAATGCCTTGTTTTGCACCTTCCACCCATTTCATCAAACGATGATTTCCCACATCAGACACGTACACTGAGTGATCTCGATCGACGAATACGTAGTGTGGGTAAGAGAGTTTATCGAGACGATTTCCACTTCCATTGCCACCTGCAACCACTGTTCCTGGAGATTCTCCTCTTCGATATCGTCTCACTTCATCTTTTCCATTGTCAGTGACATAGAGAGATCCATTCTCGTCCACTGTCAAACCCAAACAACCGATGTTCGAGATGATCGTTTCTCCACTTGTCCCATTTCGACGGGGCCATCGAACCACTCTTCTATTCGAATAATCACAGATGAAGAGACTATATCTCTCTTTGTCGACAATCCCATCTTGTGGGTTATACAACTGATGAGCTCCACTTCCTTGTCCATTTCCGCCGACAACCACTTGGCCACTCGTCGCACCCCATTTCCATTCCACAATACGATGATTCGACGAATCAGCGACATACATAGTTTGATTATCATCGACATACAAACCGCATGGGTAAGAGAGTTAGTTGGTTTTTATTGCCTTGTCGATTTCCTTCAGCCACAGTGATACCATTCTGTTGCCATCGAGCATTCGGATGAATGGTGGTGGTGGACGGAGAATATAATGGGTAGTCTGAAATAGAGACAAGAAAAATTATAAAATAAGAGATAATGAGAGAGGGAGGACAATTTTCTTTTCATAGAAATCGGATTTGCTACAAGACGAGAAATCTTTTTTAGTCAAATTATCAAGAACGATTGTTTTATCCCAACTATTTTGTTGAATTCCAAATTATCCATTGCAATTTTTTCCGCGAACTTTCTATTATTTCTTTATTTTGCTTTGAAATTCATGAGATTCTCACACAAACAACAGTTGCCCATCATCATTCATATTCTTCTTGGGAAAAAATTACGATGAAATAGCAAGTTATGCTCATATCCGACTTTCAATGAGTGTAATAAAGAAAATCTTTTCGTTGAAAGTTCAATATTCATGTTAGGATATGATCAGTTCTAGATCGTTGAACAATATTGATTTACAATTCACATGCCCCACATCATTATTGTATTTTGTTCATCAGCTACGTCTGTGTCATTGTGTTAGGCAGTTTAAAAATTATGAAGCGTATCATCTGAAAATGTGGTCTTCCATTTTGAAAAATGTTGGATAAGATTGAGAGTTATTTTTAACTTTGATACAAATATCTCGTTGAATGGTTCTCAGGAAGGAAGAAAGAAAGGAAGAATACCCTGCCTTTCGGACATCTTGCGATATGGGATGCTGTCCAAAGACAGTCTTGAAGGTCCGATGTTTTTCTATAGCCATTTCTAGCTGTAGCTCTGCACAAAAGGCCGGCCTAACTCTGAGTTTCTCCTACTTAATCACTTAAGCTCCCCATGCATGCTAACTAGCCACAAGGACTTTTGTGTATGCCAACTGCGTAGTCAGTCTGCTATTTGATGGGTGGTCCGAGATAAACAGTTGTCAGTGATTTGTTCAAGGTCATTTTATGTTTGATAGCGCTGAAGTTCCAACACAGTATCTTATGGATATGTGTCGAACATTTTAACCACTCAGCCATAGTGATTTTGATTCTCAGGGAAGAATCCGTTAGATTGGCCATTCATTAGAAAGACTATTCTGTACTTTATATAAAAATCAAAAAATGATTGAGAATCCTATAAACTAGCTTACGATTAGTTATGAATTAATTTTATTTGTTTAGTTCCGTTTGATTTAAAACATGAAAAGATATTTGCGGAAAGTTTGATTTGTTTGACTCACGTTCACTGCCATTTCTCCAGCAGTCGTTAGATGAAATTCATCTATTCGTCTGGCTTTATTTCTGATACTCTTGTTAGTCGGATAAACTCGAAAAGTTGATATTATTAGCAGAGTAATTAGCAAAGTAGAATACACTTTTTGTTTTCTTCACATGTCAGATAGACAGACGACTAATATAGATTTTATGTGACATTCAACTCGTATTTTGACAAGTTTCACGATGGAAATAAAGAAATTCGAAACTCATAGTATGTGATTGCATCTTGTATAATCAAAGTTCTGTTGAAAACTTTTCATTAATCTAATCTATGTAGTCTCATTGCAACAAGAGATCAACTTTTAAATGAAAACGAAACAAACGTTGATCAAAGAATAACTGATACAAACAGTTTTTCTCCACGTGTTGAAGCAATTAAAATGGAACAATAAAAGTATGAATTCAATTTCCGATGCTATTGATGTAGTTTAAAATAGACAAAATTGTATTTAATCTTGATGATGTAGTTTCATCGCAGCCATCCTCGCGCATTTGTGATATGAGTTTCGATATGCTTGGCTTTCATTGTTCATGGATAATAGACAAACACTATAAAAAGAAACGAGAGGCCGAATATTTCAGTTATTGATACCAAACATAATACTGAGATGAAATTCGAAACTTTTATGTGATTACATTTATAATAGACAAAAAGGATAACAAGAAAACCAGAGCAAAGATCATTCGCACATGTAAACAACGTTTCAAATGACAAAATTATCCATGAAAACAGTCAGCCTCTTAAACTAAATATCTATCAATGAAGTTCATCTCAGCCAACAAGGTACACATGGGTGTGGGTGTGGGGTGTGGGTGTGGGCAAAGACGTGGGTGTGTGCGGGTGTGGTTGTGGATGTGACTGTGGCTGTGTGTGTGTGCGGGTATGGGGCATGTCATAACTGCGACAATCAAAATCACACCCACACTCTTATACTCTTTATTTATTTGAGATACTATTAATTAATTCAATATTTTATTCTTGTTAATTAAAGCATAGAAAATGAAAAGTATCATGCAAACTTATCATCTTCAATAATCATTGCTCGGCAGTACTATTGTTTCAGATTCTGTGTGTACCATGGAAATATGAATCATTGATGATATATGGTTAGGTCTTTTTTAAAATAACTATTACAAAATATCAAATGTAGATATTAGTCTGCTAACTGTTGGTCAAATTTTTAGATAGAATAACAGTAAAATAGCAAGATTATAATTATTGTATTAGAATAAGTTCGAAAGTATTGGAATCCTCGATCAATAATACAACAGCACTTATAATCTATGATAATCAACGAAATTTCCGTCAGATCTATTTTCATCATCAACCACATTCATTTGTTTTATCAAATCATGAAAATGATTTTGAATTTGGTCATCGATTTATGACAACTTATGTACAAGAAATCATTCTAGCTTTGATTTAAAACAAAACGTTTAAGAACAAATGTTAGCTAAGCACATACATAAATGTCGACATATTAATAAAATGAATATTCAATTAGGCAACTTAACATCACCGAAACAACTACAAGAGAAAGCATTAAATAATCAATATGTTTTTGAACAAGAAGTTCCTTTACTTAGCAAATCATTAGAAAATGATTCATCATCAAAAATAGATGCCTTATATCAACGACATATACATTAATTTGTCTTTTTTTTTTCATTTTTATTAATAAAGAAATTAAGAGAAAAAAATGAATAGAACTTCTTGTGTTATAATAGATAGTCAATGTCTCTAATAATGATGGGAAAAAATTCATTTGTTTTGTTCGAGTCGGTTCATGGTCATTTTACACTTGATTGAAAATAGAATGAATATGGGTGATGCGAAGATTTACATTCACACATTCAATTCCACACCCATTATATCGTGGTGCAATCTCTATTAGATATATTTCTTTGTTGTTTTATAGTGTCATTTGTCAAGAGTATTCGAAAGAACATATCTCTGTTGTAGTACTTTGTAAGCAAATTTCTTTCTCATAAGTGATTTGCTTCACTATATTTTTCCATAGACAGAAAATCAAAAAAAAAATAGAAGAGCTTCTCGATCCAATACCTCATAGATAACTGCTATTATGCTCACCAGATATAGAAAAAAATAATATTGCGCTTACCTACGCCATCTAGATGTATTTTTTCAGATTCAGAATAAAAGAGAAGAGTCATTCGATTCTACTCATCATTCGTTACCATTTTTATCCTCACTTAGAAATAAAAAAAAAAACTTTTTTCTCTCTACGTCATCTGCTTGTGCTCTTCCATAGACAAAAGAAATGAGAGCAATCTATAGAATGTGGCAATCATAGGTAAATAGCTTTACTCCAATCAAGACATAGAGAAAAATAAATATTTTTTCTTTTTGTATCATTCGCCTGAATTTTTTCATAGATAGAGTTTTAAAGTAAAGTCTATAGATTACATGCATCACAGGTAATATGCTTTACCTTTTCCTAAGTAGAGAGAAAAAAAAAGAAAAATGTTCTCTCTGTATTGATGCCCTTTTCCCTCGTTTTATTCTTTTGCATCGTACTACTCAACATGTCATAATCATAGAGAGACCTTTCGTGAGTTCGCTGTAACGTTCTTATCTTATCAATGTCACTATATTTTATTGTAGTTCGCGAAGGAGCGGGTAAGCAACCAGGACAAGCAGATATTTAACAGCCATTTGTCTCCATCTCACAATAAGGAAGTG